CTAAAAGATATGTCTCATTCCGGTGACGTGATGGATGCTCATAATCAAAGAGGTAAAAAATCTTTAAAAGAAAAAAATTAAAATTGTTTATTAATATTAATATCATTAATTACAATATATTTTATGATAAGGTCATCATCGTATAACAGTAAACTTATCTAGTTTACCAATAAGTGTAACAAAATTGTATTTTATATTATCGTCATGGAATTCACCTAATATTGGAAGTTTTCCAAATCCTAGTTTTAAATTATATGATCCAGATAAACCTAATGAACAGTTATGTAAATATGAGATACGAACCGCGGCATCTTCACAAGCTGTAATAATGTGTGTTGTTGCTAAAAGTAAAATTGATAGTACTTGGAATATATATGAAATTGGCAAATTATCTTCTGGTAATGCTAAAAATTATTCTTCAATTCAAGCAACAATAGGTGCATTAACTGATTATTTTTAATTCGAATCGTTATTGTTATAGTAATTATGATTATATTTTTTATTGATTACTATTAATATAAATATATTTGTAAAATAAAATGAGATAGATTACAACGAACATAATAATAATATAATGCCACTAAATTTTGCAGGGGTATAAATTTAGCGACTAGCTAAATTTACCCAATAAATAGTATTTTCATTTAATTACCCATATAATATAGAGTGATCAATAAATTCATGCTAAGGAAGTTATTTGATTTCTCTAGTTTAACCTCCATTATTGGGAAGATTGGAACATCCAATTCACGTTATTATATAGGTAACTGCGACACAAATTTTTAATGTTTGCTTGTGTCGTACAATATCGAATTTACGCATAATTCAGATTATCATCATGGTAAGATTTTTTTAAAGGCCATTTTTCAAGTTAATTGATATTTAATAAATAAATTGATGGTTGGCTTTTTTTAAAAATAATATAAAGTCAAGAGTTGAATTGATAGGTCCCCAGGGTAATTAATTAAATATTTGATCTTTCATATAACAATAGATAATAAATATAAGATATATATTTAATATATATAATTTAATTTAAGGACTTCGTACTGATGGTAGGAGACCTTATGAATTACGAAAAATCAAGTGTAAATTATCTGTGTTAAGTCAAGCTGATGGATCTGCTTATATCGAACAAGGCAATACTAAATGTTTGGCTGCTGTATATGGACCAAGAGAAGTAATAATGATAATATTTATATATTGTATATTATTATTCATTTGTGTATATAAATATAATATCGTGATAATTATATACCGTATATAGGCAAGACAAAGAGCTCAAATATTACATGATAAAGCTATTGTCACTGTTGAATTAAGTTATGCTCCATTTAGCACCAGTGAACGAAAAAAAAGATCAAAAACTGACAAGTAAATATTGCGATTACGTCAATAATCTAATTAATAAATAAGTTGATTATGAATTTATTTTTATTATTTCTTTAAAAAAAGACGAATTTTAGAGATAGCTTCAGCTGTTAAACAAACCTTTGAGCCTGTCATAATGACAAATTTATTTCCAAAGTCACAAATTGATATTTTTTTACAAATATTACAATTTGATGGAGGTTATTATTATTACTATTGCTATTATTATTTATTTCTTATTAGGAAATATTTTTTACCAATAACACTTATATTTTATAGGCGCAACACAAATATGTATCAATGCAGCTACCTTGGCTTTAATAGATGCTGGTATACCGATGTCAGATTATGTTTGTGCTTGTTCCGCTGGTTGTATTGAAGATGAGGCAATTTTAGGTTTGTAATCTACTAAATATCAATATTTATATAAATATGTTGTAGCTATTAATAAATATTAACAAAAAATCTACTAGATTTAAACAATATTGAAGAATCATGTAATACGCCAGAATTGAGTGTAGCTTTATTGCCAAAATCTGGAAAAGTAGCTTTATTACAGGTAACTAAATTTCGGCTATCACACACATCACACATCCACACATCTGCATATAAATATAAATAACAATTTTAATTTTAGATGGAATCACATCTTCACGTTGACAAATTTGAATTAGTGATGGAACAGGCAGCTATAGGATGTAAAGATGTGTATAACGCATTGAATCAAGAAGTTATAGTTAATATGAAAGAATTAATAAATAAAATGTCCATATAAAGTTTTTTTTTGTTGACAATGGAATAAAATTAAATTGAAAATCGTGTCAGGTTATATTATAAAACATAAAAATTACAAACTGATTTTGCTTTTGCCAGAAATCTTTATATTTTTCTGGTGATTCTTTGGCTGCTTCCTTGTGAGCACCAAGTAACTAAGGCTTCCGGATTTTCCTTAAATTTTTTTAACTTCTGGAAAAAAAAGTCACCAAATATTTTTCCTTTTTTTTTGAATTTATAACATTCCACCTGCACTAGCACTAAAGCCTTTAAGAAATATTTCAGCGTTTCTAACTTTAATATTGTTTGTAGCAATTAGATGATCTGCTTCATAGCTACCACGTTGAGATTTTTAAAGCCTACAATTCCACTTGATTTTGTGATTAATGAATCACCACGAGAATTTGCTATCAACAATAGAAAAATGCCTGATATAATTCTTGCTAATCCAGTTCGAGTTTTATTTAAACTTTGTGATTTTTTATCTTGATGTTTGTTGATGAGACTTTGTTCTTATCATCTTCATAGCATTACACAATCAGATCTGAAGGAAATGAAGAAACATCATCATTTAATTCCTTCCTAGTTAACTTACTTCCAGAATGCATTACTATATTATAATTTTTTTCAGTGATTCTTTAGAATACGCTTTATCAAAATCTATCATTTCATCAAATATTGATTCTGGGTCCGGTTTAATATAGTTTTTTGCATCTACATTAAGCGTTTTAAAATTATCATCATTTTTGAGAAATTGAACAGTTTAAAATAAATTGTAAGCAACTTATTGATAATTTAAGTTCTCTGGAAATGATGTTTTAATTGACAAAAACAATATAAACATATAAAGATAATAATAATCAATTCGCACATTTTATCCGCAAGATCTATTTAAAATTTATATAATGATAATAAAGAAAATGTTTCTACCTTTGTCAAAGTATCAAGCATCAAAGTTAACTTATACATCAGCATTTCAACGAGTTAGAAAACCATTTATAATTTAACTGGTATAATCTTTTTAAAAATAAAAATTTTATTTCAAATAATAATTAAATTAAATTCTTATACAATGTTTGCAATAAAACAAAATGGTTTTAATGATGTTCCATATCATTAATAGAAGATAACAAGGATTTAAAGAATTAAAAAATTTAGTTAATACAACTATTATTATTATATATTTTTATAATGAAACTTTAATCTTTAATCTCCAATTTGAGATTTTAGGAAAAAAAAAACAATTTTTTAATAGCCACTAAATAAATTTAGGGGACCATCTTTTATCTTTATCGTCGTCCCTCCTTCTTTACCATCATCATCGCATCCTCCTTTACCTTTATTACCGCCTATTCCTCTATTTTCAATAATATAGAGATGTTGCTATGTTAATTTTTGATTATTGTAATGATAATTTTCTAAATTGTAGTCGTCCTCCGAGGATTTGATTATTGT